TTTTTGGCTCCTATTGTCAGAAGTGAGGAAAAGTGGGTGAGCGCTCCCCTCCCTCCATCCCTCCCGACCTGAGCCGCCTCCATCCTCCTGCCTTTTGCCAAAGCTTTATTTTGGGGGTTTTTTTTGGACCCGGGAGGTGGGAGAGGAACGTCCCGGTGCTCCTGGCCGGTGGGGACCCCCCCCACACACACACACACATCCCACCCCCGGCCTTCCTCACCCCCACCCCCTTGGCCGCCCGAGTTTATTTCTATTAAAATACGCGCAATTCGGTACTTGCATATTCCGCTGCTGCCTAAATCCCGTGGTGTCACCCCCCTTCAGCAGCACCCAGAACTTTCAGGTGCTCCTGTTCCCCCAGGTTTTTGAAAGGTCATAACCAAACAACAAATCAACTCCAGAAGATTTTGCTGATTTCCTATACTTCATGATGAAAAAAAAACCCCAAACCCAACCTGTGCAGAGCTGTCACGGCCAGGAGTTTGGAGCTGGGGACAGGAGCCCAGCTGGGAGGTGAAATCTCCCCGTGTACACACGCAGGGGGTGCATTTCGGGGTGGTCCCCATCGACACATCCCTGCAGCTCCTGCATCCCAGCGGGGGGCCCATCCCACGCCCAGGGCTGGCTGTCTCTCATGCAAAGCCGTGGGGCTCAGAGGCAGCTTTCTGCTGTCCCCCCCTCTTCCTCTCCTTCCCCGGGTAACACGCTAACGCCATCGCTGCTGTCCATCCCATTAAATCTCTACAATGACTTCATAGGCTCCGCTCCATAATGTATATTTTTAAAGCGAGCAGGTTCTTTTAATGTATATTCTCGTGTCATTTCGGTGGCTGTTATTTCTCGCTTGATTGTCCCCCCTCGGTACAGCAGCGGCCTGTTTTTTCCTCCCCCTGTTGTGTGTTTTTATTATTTTCCCCCCTGGCTTAGATGTGTCAATCACTCTCTCCCTGCCATTGGTTGGAGAGTTTGCGTCAAAAAGTTGCCAGAGAGGCGCTTTCTCAGCAAAGCTCCCCGAGAGAGGTAGAGACCTCAGCTCCAACGCACCCTGCCACTATTATTAAAAAAATAAAATCACTTTGACCAGCTCCGGCACCGACCAGCTCTGTATGTACCCAGCCCAGACCCCCAGCATCCCTGCATCCCTCTCCCGCACCGTCCCCTCCCCTTTTCTCCCCCATTTATTCTTCTTTTTCAAACATTTTT